CCCGGTCAGACTCATTCCTGATGCCAACAGAATGGCTCACAGTGTAGATGTGCCATGGCTTCCAGCCAGCCCGGAGGGTGGGCATTGTGCTGTTCCTGGGTTTTTGCTCGTCAAGCAAGGCTGCTCTGAGGGATGGGGACACACCAGGACCTGGAATGACTTACATCACTGTTCCTGCTTTGCGGTGACTGACGAGGGCGGAGCGTGGTGGGTCTTTTCTCCTTTGCCATACTTGCTGGGTCTGAGGAGGATTCTGCTCCACCTCAAGTCTGACCTGGGTCACCCGTGACCCTGGGCCTAGCTGGGGCCACTCGTCTGCCCAGCCAGCTGAGGAGGTCTCCCTGCAGTCTCCGCCTTGGGGAGTTTGGACAAGAAACCGAACCCAGCTGTGCGTTGTGCCTTCCCACACACCACAGGCTGGTTGTTGAGCCTGAAAGCAGTGTGAGCCCAGGGCCCATCTCTTTATTTAACACGTGGGATGGAGTAGAGAGAAATGGGCTGCCATACAAAACAAAAGATTGTTCTTCAGAGGAAGTGAGCAAGTGGGAGTAGGCCTTTGGAAGGTGGAAGGAGAGGGGTCTCAGGGGAGGACCCCCTCGCTGACTGAGGGCCCGGGGCCGGCTCCCTGCACCCACCGTGGTGCCCCTCACCTGCCTGCCAGCCTGCCATGTGCATCCCCCAGGACTGGGGGTCAGCCCCCCATTCCCGGCAGACCTGCTGGCCCTAAATGCACACCTTCTCTTTATTGCTTCATGGTTGCACTCCATCCCCCGATGAGGTGCTGGAGTCAGAGACCGGCCCCGTGTCCTCAGGCACTGGCCATGCTGGCGCCTCGGAGCATCCTGGCGCAGTCCCCATGCTGAAGCACACCCGCCTGGCTTCCTCGGCTCTCCCAGTAACATCCTGGGCACCCCGAGGAAGGACCAAGCTTGCAGCACTCAGCTGAGCATCTGTACTGTCCCCCTTTCCGAAATGAGAAAGCCGAGTCTGAGGGGCCATTCTGGAACTGCCCAAAGGCACAGCTCACAGCCAGTGGACAACCAGGTCTGTCTGAGGCCAAGGTGCATAGCCCCCAACCCCATACCCAAACGCTCCCAGGCGCCCTTGCTTCCTGGACCCCTGCCCGCCTCGGGAGTTTCCCGCTCTGGCCTGGGCTGCGGAGCCCAGAGGCAGGGGAGGGAAGGAGGGAGGCGGGGCGGCACCCAAACTCATGACCTGTCCGCCCCCAAGCAGGCTGCCTGCTGTGGTCAGAGCTCGCCCAGCGGTCAATCAGGGCCACGGAGGACAGGCACTGGGGTGGGGGGTGTCTGGAGGCTCCAGCTCTGGAATCCGCTTCCTGCAGGGCTGTCTGGGTCCACCCCGAAGCCGCTCGGTCTGAAGGGAGAGTGAGGCAGGGGGGCCGGGACCAGGTCACGGGGATGTTTGGAGGCGAGGTAGGACAGGAACTTCTCCCAGAGCTGAGAAAATTGATTTTTTTTCCATCATTGATTTTTTTACGGCAAAACTTTATAGCGCAGCCTGAACGACTTTATTCCTCAAACTCCAACAGTTTAATATACGTGATGAAATGTAAGATTTCCACGATTCTTCTAGTAGTTTTCTGGCCTTAATTTCTCGATTTTAATCTTTGCTCCATCTGGATTTTTTTGCTGTGGGATCTCTGTGAGTTCAGGTACAAGTTTCGTGAACCCATTCAGGTTGTCCTAAGGGGAACAAAGAAACCTTTATTTTGCTCAAGAAAAACTGAAAGTCTGGGAGCAGTGGCTGCAAACGGCTGGATCCAGGAGCTCGAGCGACGCCATGGGTGCCCTCCTCCCACTCGGGCTTCATCCTGGGCAGGTCTCCCCGCAAGGTGGGAAAATGGTACCAAAGGTTACAAGGGCATCTTCCCTCGCTCCTGCAGGCTCAGGAGGACAAAAAGGTCGTGTCTTTTTCCTGAATAAAAGGCCTGCGGGAGGGTGGGCCGCTGGGTAGAGGGGTGGGCAGTTTCAGGGAAGCAGAGGGGAGGTCCCGGGAAGGGCGCAGAGGCTGCAGGCCCTAGCTTTGCAGGTGGTCACCCACCTTCTCCCTCTTGCTTAGATGCTGCACTTTGCCTCCTTGGGCGCCGTTTCTGGCCTCTCTCTGCGCCGCCCAGCTCTCTGTCCATCCATTTATCTGTGCCAAACCGTTCTCAGAGTCTCTGTTCCGTGTGTCGGGTCGTTGGTAAGTGGGTGGCAAGTTGATGCCTCCCCGTCTGGTACTGACCCATCGCTCTTCCTTTCCAGAACTTTCCTGGCTGTTCTTACATTATTTGTTTCTATTTGAATTTTAGAACCAGCCTGTCTGTTCCCAGGTCTTATGTGTTATTGGGACAAATGCATAGACCAGGCATGGCACCCACGTCTGCACCTGCCTGTCTGGGGAGGCCCTGGCTTCCCGCACCCGAGCCTTCCTGCCCTCCTGGGTAACATCTGCAGCATTCCCAGAGATTGTGCACGAGGCTCATGGGACGTGGTCCTGTTTGCTCGTTGTGAGAGGGCGGGCTGCTCCCCTGTTCCCAGAAGTGGGGGGTAGAGTACAGGAAGGAGCCCCCATCCATGCCGTGAGCTTCGACAAGAGAGGGCAAGCCCTAACGGTCAGGTGTGTCCCCGCGGCCCCCACAATCCAGATTCAGTCTCGGTCTCCAGGCTGGAGGGGCGGGGGCCACGGAGGAAAGGGCATTCCGCCCTCTGGCAGCCCGTGCTGGCCCAAGCCTGTGATCAGGGCAGGCCCGCCAGGGTGAGGCCGCTCCTCACTCCGGACTTCAGCAGCAAGGGCCTGGCCCTCCTCCAGCGGGGGGGCCAGTGCAGCCTCCGACCAGACCCCGTAGGCCACGAGCTGGGCCCCAGCCCACTGCTTACAGCCCCCACCTGGCCCTCCGAGGGGGCAGTTTCTACTGCCTGTGCTCAGCGAGGTGTGGTGTCTTAAATGTTTTGACATTTGAAATCTGTGTTGGATACATTTGTTCTGTTTAAATTGTACCGGGTTGAGGTGACTCACAGGGAATTGTTTGTCTCCTGGGCCCAGACCCAGCGTCCTGCTGCACCCCTGCCCAGCCTCCAGCCCAGCAACAGCCTCAGAAACCCTCCTGGAGCGGCCTCTCTGCCCATGTCAGCCCCTCCCCACGTCCTGCAGAAGGTGGGCTCCAAACAGCAGTGAAACCAAGGGACGTGGGAAGGGGCCTCAGCCAGAACCTGCCTCCCAAGCTCGGCAGACACAGGAGCGAAGGAGGCCTGGCGGGGGCGCTGGTGGGAAACCCTGCAGGCAGGCAGTGAGTGATGGGCACCCAGGGCCAGTGGGTGTGGAAAGTCCCCTTCCTGAGGGCCTGGGTGGCCTTTCTCTGGCCTGTGCGTCCTCCTGTTTAGCAGAGCCTTGTTCAGGTGGAACTGAAGATAATCCTCAGGCCACCGCCTCCTGGAAGGCCTCATGATCTCCCAGGTGGGGCCTGGAGCACTGTGGGTGTGGGCAGGACCTCTGGAGGCCTCAGCTGGAGGCCTCAGCACCCTCAAGGGAGCAGTCATGTGAGTCTGCCCTGTTCTGCACAGACGCCCGACCGCCAAGGGGGCCGCAGAGCAAACCTGCCTGCAACTTCGGTAGCTGCTGGGTGTCGCGGGGCTCTGCCTATATGAGCAGGACGGAGGTGCGGTCGTCCTCACCTGAGGGACCATCTCTGTCGTACGATTGAGGACCCTCGGGCTGCAGGCGAACCAGGTCAGGAGGTGGCAGGAGGGGCCACCTGGAGCCCAGGGAGCCCCAGGTGCAGACCTGTGGAACTTTCCAGAGAAATCGCAGCTGCCAGGCCGGGAGCCCGTACAGGCAGCCTCTCCAAGTGCAAACAAAAACCTCTGTGAACCTGAAGTTCAAAACGAGCATATGGAGCAGCTTAGCAGGTGCAGGGACGGGCCCTGCTGTCTCCTGGCACGGCCGAGGCCACGCTGTCCCTGCCAGGGAGCAAGGGGTGCCAGACAGCGGAACGTTCAGGAAGAATAAACAGCCACTCGACGCTGTTAGTCCACTGCCCTGGGAGGTGATGCCAGTTTTTGTTGTTGTTGTTGTTGTTCTGTGTTTTTTGAAAATTTTATTTATTTATTTGACAGAAAGACACAGCAAGAGAGGGAACACAAGCAGGGGGAGTGGGAGAGGGAGAAGCAGGCTTCCCGCGGAGCAGGGAGCCCGATGCGGGGCTCGATCCCAGGACCCTGGGACCATGACCTGAGCCGAAGGCAGACGCTCAACCGACTGAGCCACCCAGGCGCCGCCCCCCCCCTTTTTTTTTAAAGATTTTATTCAGTGATGCCAGTTTTAGGACCAGCCCTGGGGGAGTCCTGTTCCCCATTGCCCATCACAGCCACCCCTGCAGAGGGACTGCAGGGATTGTTCTCAGCCTGGTGTCCTGGCAGGGCCCGGTCGAGTGTAGTCCAGCCCCTTGGCCTGTCTGAGGCCCGGCTTCCCCAGATGCAAATGACATCGAAGTTAGAGGTGCTCATAAGAAGCTGATTTCAATGAGCTGAGAGGCAATGGGGTGGGGCAGGAGGAAGGGTCTTACATGCTTGTCCAAACATGAACTGTCCATATACATGAGGGATGCTGGGCTTGGCCATCTTAGAGGAGAGCCTGGGGCTCGGGGACTGCAACCATGACACCTCGTGTCCAGACCTGGGAACACAGAGCCCCAGCCCTTCACCACAGCTAGGACACGCCAGAGTGTAGTCCACACCGTCCACAGGACACGCCAGAGTTTGTACCCCACACTGTAGGCTGAACCCTGTGCAGAGGGGCTCACTGAGGTGGCAGAGAGTCTGTGAACCCCTTCTGAACCAGGGGTGGGTGGGAAGCAGGCAGAAAGTAGAGTGTGCATCTGCCAGTCTGCCCCAAAAGACCAGGCACCTTCCATACTCCATGTCCCGGCTTGGTGGGGCAGGCAGCAGGGTGGTGTCCCCTGCACACCAGCCTGACAGCTGTCCTTCTCTCTCTCTCTGCAGATTAATACCTTCATGTCCTTTGTGTTCCCCATGGTGGTCATCTCCATCCTGAACACCATCATTGCCAACAAGCTGACCATCATGGTCCGCCAGGCAGCTGAGCAGGGCCAGGTGTGCACGGTTGGGGACCAGCACAGCTCATTCAGCATGTCCATCGAGCCTGGCAGGGTCCAAGCCCTGCGGCATGGCGTCCGGGTCTTACGTATGTAACCTCTGGGCCCTCCGGGGTGGGTAGCAGCCAGAGGCCAGCAGAGTGGCAAGCCTCACGCCACCAAACAGGGCAAAGTTTAAGACCCAGGGAATGGAATAGTCCCAGCAGAGACTCAGAAGTCTGGCTCCACCCAGGGATCAGTGTTCTTTACTCCACCCACTCATCTACCTATTCACCCACCCATCCATCCTTCCACCCACCCATCCACCCACTCACCCATCCATCCAGCCTTCCATCCATCCATCCATCCTTCCACCCACCCATCCACCCATCCACCCATCCACCCACCCACCCATCCATCCTTCCATCCTTCCATCCATCCAACCTACGACTCATCCATTCACTGATTCAGCAAGTCTCCTGAGCATGGACTCTGGGTCAGGCAGCTTGCTCACACAGACATGGAGCAGCAGAGGTGGGGGTTACCATGTGTGCCAGGCAGTCAGGGACCTGGAGAGGCCTGAAGTGCAGCCCCTCTGCATTGTGACCCACATTCTAATAAGGAATCCTGAAGACCAACCCTTACAAAGATCCCAAGGCAGCCCCCATCACAGGAGAGCGCAGGGTGGAGCTTGTGCTCCTGTGGGTTGTGGTGTTCCATGTGTGGGTTCCTGGGCCTGACCTGTGCCCAGAGATGGCATCCTTGAGGAGCCATCCAGAGGATGCTCTTTCTCAAAACACCCTGCCCCCTACTGCTGAAAGCAGTCGCGCCTGACCCAGCCCCCTCCCCAACTGCGACCACCTACCTTGTGCCTCCCAGCAGCCCTCCCAGTTGCTGTCACCCTCACCCCAGCAGACAGGCCTCTGGGCCTCTGCCCCAGGCCACCTGTCCCTCAGCGGCCACTGTTTCTTGGAAGAAAGAGGTCCAGAGCAGCACTATCCAATAAGAATATGACACAGGCGCCGCACATAATGTTAAATGGTCTAGTAACCACGTTTTTGTTTTTTTTAAAGATTTTTATTTATTTATTTGACAGAGACACAGTGATAGAGGGAAGGAGTGGGGGAGGGAGAAGCAGACTCCTCACTAAGGAGGGAGCCCGATGCGGGGCTCGATCCCAGGACCCCGGGATCATGACCTGAGCCGAAGGCAGTCGCCCAACGACTGAGCCACCCAGGCGCCCCTAGTAACCACGTCCTTGTTTTGTTTAAGATTTCATTTATTTATTCATGAGAGACAGAGAGAGAGAGAGAGAGAGAGAGGCAGAGGGAGAAGCAGGCTCCCAAGGAGCAGGGAGCCCGATGCGGGACCCGATCCCAGGACCCTGGGATCATGACCTGAGCCGAAGGCAGACGCTTAACCACCTGAGCCACCCAGACGCCCAGTAATCACGTTTTTAAAAGTAAAAAGAAATAGATAAAATTCATTTAAATAATTAATTTAGTCTAGTATTTCCAAAGCCTTGCCATTTCAGCATTAATCATTATAATAGTATTGCTAAGAGCGTTCCTTGGGCCACAGTAGCCTCATGGCCAGTGGCCAACAGGCTGTGTTCAGGGGTCAGGGTCACAGCCTTTGCTTTTGCTGTGTCAGGGACAGGCTTCCTGGAACATCCCTGTGCCGCCAACCCATCTCCTACTGCGGCAAGCAGGAAGCCCTCCCATCATGGGGCTTCCCGCAGGCTGGGTCTCCTGGGCCTGTGGAGTCAGGGCAGCTGCCAAGGGGCCAGGGCCCCCAAACCAAGCTCCTCCTGCAGGTTCCCCCCATGTCCCAAGATGAGGATACGCCGTCTCAGGGACGAGCTTCTCTCTGCACCAGGACTGCCCAGCCAGCCCCAGGTTTTCCCAAGCGATTGGCCTTTTTATTGCTTTCTTTTTCACTGTGGTAAAATGCACTTAGCATACAATTTACAATCTTGACCATTTTTAAGTGTCCATTCGGTGGTATTACGCACATTCATACCATCAGTCTCCAGAACCTTTTCATCTTACACAACTGAAACTCTGTCCCCATGAAACACTAACTCCCGAGCCACTCTTCCCCAGCGCCTGACAACCACCCCCTCCTCACTGTCTCTGTGGGCTACTCTAGGGGCCTCAGGCAAGTGGGATCGTCTGTTTGTGCCTGGCTTATGTCCCTGAGCATGATGTCCTTAAGGTTCATCCACGTCGCGGCAGGTGTCAGAATGTCCTTTCTTCTTAAGGCTGAGTATACTCCAGAGTCTAGATAGACTGTATTTATCCATCATGGGTGGGTGGACACCTGGGTTGCTTCTGCCGTTTGGCCATCGTGAACAGTGCTATGGGCATACAAACATCTGGTTGAGTCCCTGCTTTCAGTGCTTTGGGAAGTATACTCAGGAGTAGAATTGCTGGATCATATGGTAATTCTACTTTTAATTTTTTGAAGAATTGCCATACTGTTTCCCAAAGTGGATATACAATTTTGCATTCCCACCAACCGTGCAGGAAGCTTCTCATTTCTCCACATCCACACCAAAAATCACTATTTTCTCAGGATTTCGGGTTTGTTTGATTTTTTTACAGTAGTCATCCTGGGTGTGAGATGGTATCCTAGTGTGGTTTTGGTTTGCATTTATCACATGATGAGTGATGTTGAGCCCTTTTTCATGTGCTGATTAACCGTTTGTGTATCTTCTTTGGAGAA